CAAATTTTAGGATAGTTTGTTCTAGTTTTGAGAAGTATGCTGGTGCAATTTTGATTCGGATTGCATTGAATGTGTAGATTGCTTTGGGTAGTAATGACATTTTAACTATATTCTTCCAATCCATGAGCATGGAATGTTTTTCCATTTCTTTGTGTCTTCTTCAATTTCCTTCATAGGTTTTCTATAGTTTTTATCATAAAGATCTCTTATGTCCTTGGTGAGATTTATTCCTAGGTACTTTATGGTTTTTTGTGCAATTGTGAATGGGATCAGTTTCTTGATTTCTCTTTCTGTTGCTTCATTATTGGTGTATAAAAATGCAACCGATTTCTGTACGTTGATTTTGTACCCTGCAACTTGGCTGAATTCTTGGATCAGTTCTAGTAGGCTTCTGGTGGAGTCTGTTGGGTTTTCGATGTAGAGTATCATGTCGTCTGCGAAGAGTGAAGGTTTGACTTCCTCTTTGTCAATTCTGATACCTTTGACTTCCTTTTGTTGTCTCATGGCTGATGCTAGGACTTCCAGCACTATGTTAAACAGCAGTGGTGAGAGTGGACATCCCTGTCGTGTTCCTGATCTCAGGGGGAACGCTCTCAGTTTTTCCCCGTTGAGGATGATGTTAGCTGAAGGCTTCTCATAGATGGCTTTGATGATGTTTAAGTAGGTTCCTTCTATCCCGACTTTCTCTAGAGTGTTTATTAAGAAGGGATGCTGTATCTTGTCAAATGCTTTTTCTGCATCTATTGACAGGATCATATGGTTTTTATCCTTTCTTTTGTTGATGTGATGTATCACGTTGATTGATTTGCGAATGTTGAACCAGCCCTGTAACGCAGTAATGAATCCCACTTGATCTTGGTGGATGATTCTTTTTATGTGCTGCTGGATTCGATTTGCAAGGATCTTGTTGAGAATTTTTGCATCTGTATTCATCAAGGATATTGGTCTGTACTTCTCTTTTTTGGCTGGATCTCTGTCTGGCTTGGGAATCAGAGTGATGCTGGCTTCATAAAACGAGCCTGGGAGTTTTCCTTCGATTTCTATTTTTTGGAATAGCTTGAGAAGAATTGGGATTAATTCTGTTTTAAATGTCTGATCGAATTCCCCAGGGAAGCCATCAGGTCCAGGGCTCCTATTTATTGGGAGATTTTTGATAAGTGATTCAATTTCTTCACTCGTTATGGGTCTGTTCAGATTTTCTATTTCTTCCTGTTTGAATTTTGGTAGTGAGTGTGTGTTTAGGAATTTGTCCATTTCTTGTAAGTTGTCCAATTTGTTGGCATATAATTTTTCATAGTATTCCCTGATAATTGCTTGTATTTCTGAGGGGTTAGTTGTAATCAGTCCATTTTCATTCATCATTTTGTCTATTTAAGTGCTCTCTCTTTTCTTTTTGATAAGTTTGGCTAGAGGTTTGTCAATTTTGTTTATTTTTTCAAAAAACTAACTCTTGGTGTCATTGATGTGCTCAATTGTTTCTTTGGTCTCTATATTGTTTATTTCTGCTCTAATTTTTACTATTTCTCTTCTTCTACTGGGTTTAGTCAGGCAGAAAAGGACAAATATCATATGTTTGGACATATAGGAGGATTAGGAGGAACTTAACTGAGGACCATGGGGGAGAAGAAGGGGGTAAATGGTGGGGGAAAGGGAGAGAGGCAAACAATGAGAGACTCTTGAATGCTGAGAAACAAACTGAGGACTGATCGATGTGAGGGGGGAGGGGGGATATGGGCATGGAGGAGGGCACTTGTAGGGATGGGCCCTGGGTGTTATATGGAAACCATTTTGACAATAAACTATTTGTAAGAAAAAAATAAAAATAAAAATAAATTAAAAAATAGGTGTATGCCTGTTATTGAAGTTGGTCCTCAAGCTGCAATTCAGGGCCCTCCTGAGCCTCAGAACACCAGGTCTTGCTTAACCAGCACCACCTGGGGAAGTGGGTGCTAGGATAGGATGGAGCTGAGACTGCTTTTCTGGAGAGTAAGTCTCTACACATTCCCTGTAGCCTTTCCTCCTACTAACAGAACAGGCTTCAAGACCATACTAGATGACCCTCAAGGGTCAGTGCAGGCACCACACCCAGCTCCTATACTCAGCCCAGGAACACAGGGCTGCTTTCAGCAAATGTGATATGTAAGATCACTCACACTACATTCACAAGGATTTGCATTTCCCTTGCCTTGACAAAACCCTCATCGTGCCCAATTCCCAGGTCTGTGGCAGTAATTATTCAATGTCCCTGAAGGGTAGACATGCTCCTGCTTCTCCTATCAGCTCTCCCAAAGTGAATACATGTTGGAACTCAGCACCTCATCAGAGTTGGAGGAAAAACTCACCCCTTCATTGTTACCTTTTACATCTCAGCTTTGATTAAAAGCAAATGACAGGAAATGAATTGAGTAGGACTTAGGTATTCGTTGAGGTCCCTGAAAATCAACTACTGGGAGAGTATTTTGTTAATCTGTTTGTTATATTAATTGTTTTCTATTCTTGTTATATAACAAGTGTTATGTGTGAAGGTGGACAGGCAGTGCTTGCTTGAGTGTGGATTCAATCCCCAGTGTCACTCTTTCCCAGCTATAGAACCTTGGACAAGTTCAAATTCTCTAACCTTCAGTTCTCTCATCCTTAAACTGGGGCTGGTACCAGGACATATACCAGAGATCTAAGTGAGGGCTAGACAAAATAATGTGTCACAAGAGACTTACACAGCTTCACTGGCATGAAACTAGTGTTACTGTTTTGTAGCACCATGAAGTACTATGAAGGACCATCATTTTAACCTATGTGACTTGTACATTGTGTGGCATTTAGGCACAGTGGGGGTGGTAGTAAACAGGTTACTGATACAATTCAACTATTGAGTACAACGGGTAAAATTGAGAGCCACTGCTATAAACAAGAGTAGCCTAAGCAGGGCCCTGGCATGGTACCTGTGAAAGGTGTGCAGCCTTCGGGTCAGCAGGTGCTCCAGTGCTTGCACCTTCCCCAGGAGCAGTCCCCGAACCGCTGTTTCCTCTCGGCTGGCTGGGCTGATGCGCTGTGCAGTCAGGCGCCAGACATGGATCTCATGCTTTAGTTCTGCAGGAAAGAAAAGCCAAGGCTTAAGTGTCCCACAACCCCAGACATCAGCAGGCACTCACTCCCCTCACAATCTTCTAAGACTAATGAAACACATACTTGATGATACACTGATAACCAACAACCAAACCAAAGCAGTGGGTTCTTAGCATTCATGTTATTGTAATAGAGTCAGGAGATAAAGCCCATATTAAAAAATTACCTTGGATGCAAAGTAATGTGATTTGGGTGAGGAATAAATTCTTGAATATACATATCAATGCCAGCACACAACGAACTTTTCCCCTTTCAGGGAATTATTTCTTGCAACCAGGAGTCTGGATCTCTCTGCTAAAGTCCAGACATTGCCTAATCATTGAAGTAGATCTAGTGAACATTGAAAATACAAGTGTAGTTCTCAGCAAGTTCTCAGTAGGAGGGCATCTGATAAGAGCAGGAAGTAGCAAATGCCCTGCCTCCTGACCAAGCCTCCAAGCTGAACCTGCATCTATGAAAGAACACAAGTGAGATAGACATAGACAATCTTATGAAATGTTCAAATTAACAGAATGAGGCAAATTTTACCCATAAATTCAGACATCTTCTGGTATAGAAGAGTAAAGAGAAAAGAATTGTCAATTCTTGGCTCCTAAAATATCAAAATCTTTTATGAAAATTTACATTTAACTTTGATTTTATAGTTAAAGGTACTACATAAATTTCCCCAAATGTCCACCAAAGAATATAAGGAAGCACAGTATTTTCATCAATCATCTCTTATGTGAAATGTACTATATACAACATCACAAGAATTCAAGATGAAATTAAAAGACAGAACTCTTTCAAGCAGTGCTAGAGCACTTGACAACTAGCTCAGAGCAGAGGCAAGGCATGCCGATTATCTAAATACTGTGAAGTAGCACATACTGGTGGGTTTGATGACTAGGAAAACACCACTGTTTAAGCCCCCTCTATTCCATACACAAGAATTGATCACCTACTACGTAGCAGAGCTACTGCAAACTGTGCCAAAACTCAGAAAATAGAACTGTGACAGAAAAGGGGCACTAAAACCATTTCAGTTAACACATGCTTTTCTCTAAAGGCCTAGCCTTACAAAGATGAAAACTCTTTGGAACTAAGATATATAATGTGTTTCCATTCAGTTCATATTGATACTTTGTAGCTTGCTAAAATAAAAAAATAAATAAATAAACTTGGGTATAATTGAAAAGCCTCTTCAGAGAAATAAATCTCTCCTTTCAAAGAGCATCAAATTTCATTAAACAACCTATGAGGTTATGATAACATTAAAAGGAGGAGCAGAAGGAGGAGAAGAAAACCGAATAAACTAGCCTTCTGAAACACTGAGCACAAAAATACCACACAGGGATAGGAAAGGGGAGATGAGGACAGTGGCTTCAGTGAAGGTGTTTCATCCAATGCTCTGAATCACATTACACAGAAGATATGATTCAAAGCCTATCCATAAAGTACAGAGACTTTCCATTCTGTCTTTCAAGGCATACTGGTGATGGTCACTTTCCCAAGTGGTTGATCAACTTTAAAGAGCTAAACAAGAGCATGGTTAGTCTCTGGGGGCTAGCTCATGCATGCAATGGAGGCTGGGAATCCTCTCCCCATTGATGTATGGAGAAGCAGAGTCTGGGAGTCACTGCTGAATCTGTGAAACTGGCCTTCCCAATCCCCAAGGCTGCTCCAGAGGCAGCCTCAGCCCCTTTGTGCACACCCAGAGCCTAGCTGCCTTCTAATGCATCAAATCAAATATAAAATCAAACAGGAGGAGCTATTCTCCCCAGATAAACCCATACATTAATTCTTAAGCAGTGTACTTTTGTTCTTCTAATTTTGGAATGAAATACATTAACACTTATCAGGGAATTTACTTGAGAGAGGGATTTTGCCCAGGGAAAGGAAGCTCACTGTCTGTACCCAGAACCCAAGTGCATTCCTCCATACCTCTTCTGCCATCTCCACACCTTCTCTCCTCTGCTAAGCTCTAAGACAATGGTTTCAATGGACTACTTGAAATTGCCCTCTGCATCTTGTGCTGCTGGGTTCAGAGATAAACATTCCATCTTCCCTCCAAAAAAATTCTCTCTTCTCTCATTTTCTTAGTTTTTATATGACATCATTAATCTTCCAGGTACGTGATCCTGAAATGTCATTTTGGTCTTATCAGTGCCATTCTTCACTATTTCTGGACTGACCTTATTGGCCACGTCAGATACCATGCTAGATGCTAAAGGATGAAATTAATAAGTTACAGGGGCGTCTGGGTGGCTTAGTCGGTTGAGCAGCCGACTTCAGCTCAGGTCATGATCTCATGGTTCATGGGTTCGAGCCCCGCATCGGCTTCTGTGCTGGGAGATCAGAGCCTGGAGCTTGTTTCGGATTCTGTGTCTCCCTCTCTCTCTGCCCCTCCCCTGATCATGCTCTGTCTCTCTCTGCCTCAAAAATAAATAAACTATAAAAAATTTTTTTTAATTAATAAGTTATAGGATGGGCCTCCAACAAGTTAGAAAGAGATATAAGATATATCATAAACATAATCCAGGGCAGTACTGGGCCACAAATGCAGTTCAGGATATACTGGTATAGTTCTACAGGGTCCATTTGTTCCTTTCTCAGGTCATCAGCTTGCCCAGGCCTCATCTCCTCACACTTACTGATACTTATTGCTCCTCAGCAATCTCTAACTGGAGTCAATTCCTACCAAGTCACCCATGGTTAATCATAAAACACTGCTTATTCTATCTATTTATTCTATAGATAGATATCTATAGGTAGATAGAGTTACATAGATAGATATACAGAAAGAATAAATCTTACCTATCTTCCTATTTACCTATCTTCTAGGAAGATAAATCTATCAAGGCTGATTTATTCAGAGAGATAGTATAGACAGACAGACAGACACAGATTCCTTCTTTCAAATTGGTTTCCCATGGCTTGAAGAATAAAGCCAAAGTTCTTCAGGGAAGACTCTAGATCCTCAAATGGCAAGTGCTTTTGTGAGCTATGACCCTGCTTTACAAGTTCTTACCTTTTCCATGCTGGCCCCTGACCAGGAGATATCATCAGATATCCAATCTCCACTTCTCTGATTACTGTCTCTATCTTCCTGAACTTTTCAACCAACCTCTTACAGCATTACTTGGGGTTACCATATACATGGTGCAAAAAGATGAAGACATTACCATGTAAGATATGCTCTCTCACAGGATGTGGGGGCTGCCAGAAAGCCTAGAGGAGGGTCATCTAGTTCCAAGTGATGAATCTCAGGGGAAGATGCCAATGCCAGGAAGTGAGAAATGGAATTATACTACTGTAATTTCCTTATAGTTTATGTTAAGCAGTAAAATATCAATTGAAGTCAGTAGTATAACTATCACTAGATTCACAAAACACAACTATAGCCAAAAATGTAACAGCAAAAAGAAAAGGTAAAATGGAATGTTTTTAAATATTCAATTAATTCAAAAGAAGGCATAAAATGAAGGGAAAAGGGTAAAGAAGAGAAGGCACAAATAGAAAACAACATGATGATACACTTAATTTTAGCCATATTATTAATCATATTTAATAGAATCTAAACATACCAATTAAGAGAGAGATTATCAGGAATTGGATAAAAAAGCAAGACCCAAGTGTTAGCTACTTCCAAGAAATGCACCTTAAATATAGAGATAAAAGAATGGAAAAGATATACTACCTTACCATCAGTCAAGAGAAAGCTGGAATTGCTATATTAACAAAAAAATAGATTTCAGAGCAAGAATATGAATATAGATAGGGAAGGTCATTTTATAATGATAAGGTGCTAATTCCTCAAGAGGAAATAACAATCCTAAATACTTATGTACCATAATAACAAAATTTTGAAATATAAAACCAAAAATCATAACTGCAAAGAGAAATAGGCAAATCCACAACCATAATTAGAGATTTCTATTTTCATCTCTCAGTAATTAATAAAACAAATGGATAGAAAATCAGCAAGAATATAGAAGAGCTTCAATAATATTATCAGCCAACTTGACCTAATTGAACGTACTGACAACACTCTACCCAACAACAGCAGAATACCTACTCTGCTCTGGTGTGTACAGAATATTTACAAGGCTAGACATTCTACCCATAAAATGCCTTAATAACTTTAAAAGGATTCAAGTTTTACCAAGTATGCTCTCTGATCACTCAGAAATTAAATTATGTAATTGGAAAATATCCAAATATGTAATAAATAAGCACATCTAAAATATCCAAGGGTCAAAGAAATCAAAAGGGAAATTAGAAAGTAATTTGAACTGAATGAAAATGAAATAAAACATAAAAATTGGTAGGAGGTCACTAAAGTAGAACTTGGAAGGAGATTTAGAGCACTGAACACATGTATTAGAAAAGAAGATACATATAAAATTAATAACTTCAACTTCCAATTTAAGAAACTAGCAAAAGAAGAATAAATAATTCCAGAGTAAGAAGAAAATAAATATCAGAGCAGAAATCATTTAAAGATTTAAAAAATGTAGAGAAAATCTATATAATCAGAACCTCATTCCTCGATATCAATAAAATTAATAAAACTCTAACCAGACCCATCAGAGAAAAGCAAAGATAGGAGAGGAGTTAAGATGGTGGCTCATTAGGGGGATCATATGCTTGCCTCTTCTCTCAAATAGCTAGACAGTTATCAAATCATTCCAAGCACACAGGAAATCAATCTGAATTCTGAGAGAATAAACTATAGAACTAGAGGGAGAAAAGAAGCCACATTGTGGAAAGTGGTAGGTGCAAAGACATGATTCTGGGGAGAAAACAATCATGAGTGCTGGGAAGGGGAGGGAGCTAACTTGATCTTGGAGAGAGGAGAGAGGGAGATAAACAGAGTGAAAGCAGCACACGGGACTGCACAGGAGAAACATTTCCCCAAAACCACTGACTGTGAAAACTAGAACAGCTGACTATCACAAGTTTTTACAAGCAGCAGAGCTCAA